AAAAGTAGTTGAAACATACACTCTGTTTCACGTGCACGCTGGGCGTGAATATGGGTTGGTGCATTCGTACTTCGCACGTTTCTCATGTGCACCGCGCGCCGCACGGGTGACCCACCAGCGGGTGGGTCACCCGAAAAGTGACTGGACAAAACGGCATTCTGCACTGGCATTCTGAGCCTCAACATGAAATCGCGCATTCGTACTCCACACGTTCCCTCTATGCAGCGCGAACCGTACAGGTGACACCCCAACGGGTGGGTCGCCCGAAAACTGGTTAAACCAAATGTTTCACTGGCACTCTGGACCTCGCCATGAGTTGTTGCATTCGTACTTCAGACGCTTCCCATGCGCAGCGCGCGCCGCACAGGTGACCCACCAGCGGGTTGAAAACCCAATTTGAAATGGTGCATTATCATTATCACCCCGCGCGCTTCCCGTGTAGCGCGCACTGCGCTGGTGACCCACCGGCGGGTGGTTGACCCGAATACTGGTCGAGAAAACAAGTGTTTCGCTTGCGTTCTGGGATTCAACATGGTTCGGTGCACTCGTATTCCACTCTCTCCCCGTGTGCAGCTCGGACAACACAAGTGACTCACCAGCGGGTGCGTCACCCGAAATCTGGTTGAGAAAAACAACATGCTTCACTTGGAATGTGGGTCTCAACATGAGTTGGTGCACCGCACGGGCGACCCACCCTCGGGTTGGTCACCCGAAAACGGGTCGGGAAAAAACGATTGTGTGACTGGCATTATGGGCCTCAACATGGGCTGGTGACTTCGTATTCCACGACATTCCCCTGTGCACCGCGCACCGCACAGGTGATCCACCAGCAGGTCGGTCACCCGAACACTTGTTGACACAAATCCTTTGCTGCACTTGCACTGGGGCCTAAAAATGGGCTGATGCAATCATACTCCACACGCCTTCCCCGATGTAGAACGCACCGCATGGGTGACATACCAACGGGCGTGTCATCAGAAACTAGTTGAGATATCAAGCTGTTTCACTTGCATTCTGAGCCTCAACATGAGCTAGTGCATTCGTACTCCACACGCCTCCCGGGTGTAGCGCACACTGCACATGTGACTCACCAGCGGGTGGGTCACCCGAAATCTGGTTCAGAAAAGCTAAGTGTTGCACTTGCATTCTGGGCCTCACCATGAGCTGGTGAACTCGTACTCCACGTGTTTCCCCTTGTGCAGCGCGCACAGCACAGGTGACCCACCCGCGGGTGGGTCACCCGAAAATTGGTTGTGAAAAACAACCTGTTCCACTTGGATTTGGGGCCTCAACATGCGCGGTGCATTCGTAACCCGCACGCTCCCCCGTGTAGCGCGCACCGCTCAGTTGACCCACCAGCGGATGGGTCACCCGAAAACTAGTAGTTGAGAAAAACAGTGGCTTCGCTTGCAATCGGCCCTGGCCCATTGCGCATGGAAAGACTTCGCGCGGACGCGGAAGCCAAGCGCCTGACGCGTTATACGGCATCAGAAACCGCGCGAGAGCGAGGCGCGCGCGGCGGCGTTGGGCCACTCTGGCACCGAAGAACCCCGAGCGCGAAGAACGGACCCCACCTCACGCACACTCGCACACGCGCGCACGCAAATACAGTGTCCCAGTAAGACGAAAAATCCTCATTCGTCGACCCCAAGCCGCTTATGCATCGGAGCACGCGTAAACTTGAGATGTGCTTACCAGCACACGCGAGTGCATACGTATGTATGTGCGTGGATAGACCTGTATATGTATGTACACACACATTTATACATAGTTGTTGTTACACCTAACTGCCTAAAAATGTAAGTATATAGGCATGTATGTATACATACATGTGTAGCAGCTTTCCCTCTCCGGCACATATTGTCCAGGGAGAAAGCTAAGAGAATCCGACGGCGCCTGTATGGGGGCACCAGGCTGCGCGGATGAGGTTTGCTGCTCCCTGCTCCACTTCCAGCTTCAAGTCTCCCATATTATAACCCTACGCTCTACTTCCTGCGGTAAACTGTTCAAGTTCGCGCGAGGGGGAGAGCCCCAAAAGACCAAACTTACCACGCCCTCTGGGTGGTCTCAACATTTCTGGGGGGTCGTGGGACACATAAAAATGCTTGAGATTCGTGCCCTCGAGACGGCCCGTCGCAAACTACCCTATCTTCCCGTCCCCGAGGCCGCGCTCTCCCGGAAATGACCCTCGATGCGCGTCCCCGAAACCACGATCCCAAGTGAATGACACCAGAAACTGCGCCCTTGAAACCAGAATCTCTTGCGAATCATAAAATGTGTGCGTCCTCGAGGCCAACACTTGTTTGATTCGCGGGTCGAGAGCGCATTTCTTCCGGTCGAAGCTAAGCGGGCCGCGCGAAGCTTGAATAAACCAGAGATGGGGGAGGGAAAGGGGGGGCGCACGTCCTCGAGGCCAACACCCAACATAAACCAAGCAATATCTGCGTCACCTCGGGGACCTTCTGACCCGGGGCAATCCAGACCCGGGTCAGCCAGGCCTTGCAAAAGCCTGCCAGATCCTGCAAGATCCTGCACCCAAACCCGGGTCAATGCGAAGGATCCTGCAAGATCCTGCAGGATCCTGCACCCAAACCATGGTCAATGCGACGCTGGCCCTGCAGGATCCTGCAAGATCGGGCGCCCTGACTGACCCCCGTTTGCATTGACCCCCGTCTCAAGGCTCCCGATCACCCAGGCCACGGTGCGCCGTTATATGTATAATAAGATTCGCTGGTCAGTTACGCGATACTTGCGTCCTCGAATCCATAATCTAGTGTGGGCGATAGCTGCGTCCTCGAAGCCATACTCCTTGATACATGATGCACTAGTCACGACCTCGAGGCAATAAACCTTTGCAAACCATACAAGATTTGCATCACCTTCCGCAAATTACACCATATTTGCGTCCCCGAGACCACGATCCCTAGTAAAGTACGCCACATTCGCGTCCTCGAAGCCATAATCCTTAATAAATTACACAGGATTCGCGTCCTCGAGGCCATGATCCCTTGTCAATTACAACTATACAGCTGTATTCGCGACCTCGACACCACGATCCTTTTGTAAATTACGCTGCGTTCGCGTCCGCTTGGTAAATTACGCGATGCTCGCGTCCAGAACCCACGATTGTCAGCAAGCTCGTAGATCGAACCGTCAGGATTCGAGGTGCTTTCAGTTTTGCTGTGCAAGCCGTAGCGTACGATATTGGCCCTCGCGTGAGGGCCGGACGGTGCGTCACGACGGAGCTCTTGCATCCCGACTTAGCTCTAGCATGCCCCATTCTAAGAGAGGGGGCCGGCGGCCATGGGCGAAGAGCCCTTACCGATCGTTATTCTTCGGCGATCTAATGACACTCGGAATCCCGGGGGGGGGGGGGGCCAGGGGTTCGTCGCTTTTCAGCAGGTTCTGGACATTACGTGATCCTCCTTGGGCCCTCTTGGGCGGCCTTTGGGCCGCCTTGGAGGCTACCCTGGATCATCCTGGCCGTCTCGGAGGCCATCAAGGGACACCTGGGCTGTCATGGAAGCGACCTGGAAGACTCTGGGAGACCTGCCGGGGGCCAAGACGGGACCGCTCCCACGCTGGCCTCGTGGACGCGCGTCGACTGGAAAGATTGACCCGCTGTGGGGCTACGCGAGAGGTTGGAGCCTCCAAGATGGCCCTGGACAGCTTCAAGACGGCCCCAGGCAGCCCAGAGTGGCTTCACATATGGCACAATATAGTCAAAGTTGGAACGGCATGATACTGCTAACGTGTTAACGGTGAGGCCCAAGACCGCCACAAGACTCCTTGAGTTGGCCGGCCACCGAGCTTCCAAAAATATCCCCGAGAGACCGAAATCCATCCAAACCCGCAAGTTCTTGCAATGCGTTCCGCTTTCTCGCGTTTCCGTTTCCAATGGGCTTCTGGAGCATCGAGATGCCTCCAGTCGGCCCAAGATGCCTCCGAGTGCCGAAGAACGCCCGATGCGATGCGATGCGACCACCGTGGACAGCGTCCGGGCCTAGAGCAGACCAGGTGGGTGAGGCCATGGCCTCTAGGATCTGAGGTGTCTGGATTCATGCAATGCGAGACATGTAAAAAGTTAGGAGGAGAGGGGGAGGAGGAGGAAAAGAAGGTCCTTGGTGTCGGTGTCGGCACGGGTTGGGCGAGACGTCTCGACGTTCGCAGAAGGTCTCAAGAGGCGACTACTGAGGTCCAGAAGGGACGGGACAGCCTCCGGCCTCCTCCTCCTCCTCCTCCTCCTCCTCCTCCTCCTCCTCCTCCTCCTTCCCCTCCTCCTCATCCTCCTCTTCCTCCTTCTCCTCCTCCTCGTCCTCTACGGCCTCCGCGACGGCTCCCAAGGAGGCCCCGAGAGGTCCACAAGAGGGGCCCACGCAGTGCCCGCGGAGCCTGCGGGTCTCCCAAGAGGGCACCGAGACGGCCCCAAGGGTGGCTCCAAGAGGCATCCAGAGTTCTCTGTTCACCATTGCGGGCCTCCTCGTCTCACGAGATGTTCCTATACTCCAGATCCTTCAATAGGCTCCCCCCCCGTGCCCACCTGTCCGACGCCCCTTGCCCGCCCCCCCACGCGCCCCAAACCCACCCCCTCTCGCTCCCCAACCTCCCCACGCGCCCCGAAGGACAGCGGTTTCCCACCCCCCCACGCGATCCACCCCCCCACGCTTATTGAGAGACCTGGAGTACCTCCTTTCTGCCAGCTGCCCGCCTGAACATCATCCGAAGATGGGCTGGTCGGACGACGCGAAGCGCCAGAAATGGGCCGCATCGCGCGCGACGGGGCGACAGCGGCACACCGGCATCGGTTGACAGGCAGCCGACCCGGCAGACCCTTGACCATCGCCTCGGCACGCCCGCTGCGGACCAGAACACAACGCGGACCAGAACACAAAGACACCACTCCACCCACGGCCCCACGGGGCTCAGCGTACACCAAAGAGGTCCAGCGTGGATTCTTCCGCAGTACACGCCACGGCGCCCGACGGGCCGTAGCGCAACAGGGAGGGCCGAAGGTGGGGTGGCGCCGTTTGTTTGTTGGTCGACCTGACCTTCGCCTCGGCACGCCCGCTGCTTCGGGGCCCCGAAAGCCGTCCGTACCGTGCCCGGCGCTCTAAGGCAAGCAGGGCGAACGCCCACGGGCCGAGCAGGAAAGCCTGCACGTGCTGGACTAGTGCCCACGTGGTCTCCCAAGACCGCACACCAGTGCACTGCTGATTCCCGCTCGAGCACGCTCTAACAGGGCTGGCCTGTAATCGAGCAGGGGATCGACGACAGGATCGGTGTACCCCACAGTTGGCTTTTCCGTCGAGTCTACGGAAGACACGTCGAATGATCCGCAGATCTGTTGAGCATTTCTATGTTGTCGCGGATTCGACGGAAAGATCAATTTGGGGTAAGTCAATTCTGTAGTCAATCCCCTACTCGATGTACGCGTGCCGTCGACACGGCGGGACTGTTGGCCAAGCAGAGGGGGCGCTTCTAAATGTGAGGCGGCCCATTTCGGAGGCTCTTGCACGGGCCTGGCCGAGAGGACGCCAGCTACTGGAATCCAGACGCACGGATTGGGTTCTTACGGAATGCCTCGCATGCAGCCTCCTGGTAGATGTCTTGCTTGATGGCCTCGAAAATGTCCGTGTGCGCCTTTCGCAGGTGCTTCTGGACGAAATCTGGTCCACGGAAGAGCTTACCACAGTCAACGCACTTATACTTTCCTTCCGATATTTTCTCGGTCTTCTTCTCGACCGTCTCAGCGATAGTCTTGTCCAACTTTACGCGGTCAGCCTCGCTCATGGCGGCAGGCTGCACGAGCTGCGCTGTTGTGAGGAAGAATGCGAGCCTCTGCTCGTGAGCATCTGTCCATGGACCGGGCGTCACCCCCGTGGCGTCATTTGGAAGCGCGTCGCGGAGCATCACAGCGCCGCAGTTTCGGAAAAGGTCCCATTCGCTGCTGCACCACTCAGCCGCGTAGAAGCAGAAGTGGTGCACCCGCCGCAGGTAGAGCACCTGAAGATCGAGCTTGGCCTGCAAGCCCCCAGACTCTTGCGAGACGCCTGTAGAGAGGAGCGCGTCCGTGACCGATGACGGCACGCCAGCCAGCTCATCCAAGAGGCGCACTGCCTGTGCCGACAGCGCCTCGTCCTTACAAATGCGGTCGGGCAAAGACATCTCTGGCGGAGCAACCAGCGCGCTGAGGCTCGACGCAGGGCTTAGCCTAGAAGTCTTCAAGAAGGCGCCTGCCAGCTCACTGTCGGATTGCACTGAAAGTGCTGCCTGTGCGTCGTCCACCGTTGCAAAGCTGGCACGTACTTCTCGCGCGAGGCTCTTCGGTGCCGGCTCGGAGCAGTAAAAATGCAAGAAGCCAGGGCACCGTTCCAAAGCTGTGCGGATGGCCCAGATGCTCGTTCGGGGAGGCACCTCGCTGAACACGAGCCCATTCACGTCCGGGTCGAAAGCGAAGTGTGGTGCCTTCATGTGCCCGGCAGTCAGGCACGTGGCCCCCTCGCGAGCACCGGTCCCCGGCGCCGCAGTACTCAAGTGCAGCCCATCGTAAAGATTCTCTTGCACGCTCTTCACAAAGAGCTCCGCTCTCCGCTGGGCGCAGCGCACCTGAGGGAGGTCCTGTTTGACTACCCCTACCAGACCACCCCAACCCGACCCGAAGACCGGAATGTGCCCCGAGCCCCCCCACCATTGGGAAAGGAAGGCGAATTGGGGCCTTCGGGTTGGGTTGGGGTGGTTTGGTGGGTGGTGACTGTTGGCGATGCCGTATTGCCCACTAGCGTCGTAGACTGCTGACACATCTGAACAACCCGAGCAGGTGGAAACGGCTGGAAGGTAGAACACATTACAACGGATGCTTCCAAGTTTGGAAAACACGTGGCAGGTAGATACGCACATCTGAACAACCCGAGCAGGTGGAAACGGCTGGAAGGTCGAACACATTACAACAAATGTTTCCGAGTTTGGAAAACATGTGGCTAACGAGCCGCGACCAACAGGACCTCCCTGTGCACCCGAAGATCGTAGATCCTGACGGCAGCGAGGGGGTGGTATGAGTCGAAGAACAGGCTGGTGCCCTTCACCTTCTCGAGGCCCTGCTCCACGAGCGCCTCCTGCGCAAGGCGCTCCTTGAGCTTCAGCTTCTCCTGATGCTTCTTCCACTCCGCGACCGCATCCTGGGCAAAACGCTGGCCCCTCTGAGCTACGATCGAACGACGAAGTCTCTCCCTTCCTCCATACCCTCTGCCGTTTCTCTCGCTCGGGCGCGCCCTGGCACGGACTAGTGATCCGTGAGTGTGGCGCATGGGCGCCAGGTCCATGGAGCGGAGAAAGTAACCTCGACACGCGATGCCGATGCCGCCTCCTGTGGCGACAGCGCGCGCCGAGGCTGTATGGAAGCGTGGCCCGTCGCTAATCCGCGCGCCTTAATCCATGTTAGCGTTCCCTCGACTCATCCCACCCATCCCAACCCACTCACCACATCCCAATTGCCAGGAAAACGAGGGGAGGTGGAGGAGGAGGAGGAGGAGGAGGATGAGGAGGAGAGGAGGAGGAGGAGGAGGAGGAGGGGGGGGGGAGGAGTAGGAGTAGGAGTAGGAGTAGGAGTAGGAGTAGGAGTAGGAGTAGGAGTAGGAGTAGGAGTAGGAGTAGTAGGAGTAGGAGTAGTAGGAGTAGGAGTAGGAGTAGGAGTAGGAGTAGGAGTCAAGCTAGCCAGCTCGAGCGAGTCAAGCATGGCATGCCCAGTCCCACCCGCCCTCCCACAACATAAGAAGCAAAGCTGGCACAACTGGGGGCCGAAGTCACACCGGCCAGCCGGTTTGGTACAGCTGATGCGGCCGCGATGGCGGTTGCCGACGGGAACTGGCGAGCGCGTGTTGAATGCCGCGCACGCATTGCCAGACGAGTCGAGAATGGCCCGGTACACCGCAGGAAGCCAGAGGTGGCCGGAGGAAGCCCGACGGTCTGACAGGACACCCCAAAGCATTTTTGTGAAAAAGCATTGGGTTTTTGATGTTTTTATGTTGAAATGCTTGCAAACACACGGTGTTCGGTAGGATTCTGACATGAACGCGCGAGTGTGCTCTTTGTGGTATTTTTTGCACAGGATTCGCGGCCTGGGTGCATGACAGAGCATCGCGAGTGCACCGCGCGATGACGTGAAATCGCTGGATTTGACAGAATTCTTAAGATTCCTATGGTTTTCCTATGATTTCAGCAAGAGAGCCCGGGCGGGAAATTTGTACAATTTTTGTGAAAAAAGCATTGGGTTTTTGATGTTTTTATGTTGAAATGCTTGCAAACACACGGTGTTCGGTAGGATTCTGACATGAACGCGCGCGTGTGCTCTTTGTGGTATTTTTTGCAATGGATTATCGCCGTGGACGACAGGACGTCCATGTCGAGAGGAAAAAATAAGAAAAATGTTGATTTTGTATTGTTTTTTACAGGTTAGGATGGGACCACCCGGATGCGGCCCCTATCTGCCGGCCTGAGGGGGGAGTAGGAGTATATTCTAATCAAGCTAGCCAGCTCGAGCGAGTCAAGCATGGCATGCCCAGTCCCACCCGCCCTCCCACAACATAAGAAGCAAAGCTGGCACAACGGGGGCCGAAGTCACACCGGCCAGCCGGTTTGGTACAGCTGATGCGGCCGCGATGGCGGTTGCCGACGGGAACTGGCGAGCGCGTGTTGAATGCCGCGCACGCATTGCCAGACGAGTCGAGAATGGCCCGGTACACCGCAGGAAGCCAGAGGTGGCCGGAGGAAGCCCGACTGTCTGACAGGGGGGAGTAGGAGTATATTCTAATAAGGAATAAGGATAGGAGTAGGAGTAGGAGGAGGAGGAGGAGGAGGAGGAGGAGGAGGAGGAGGAGGAAGATTGGGGTCCACTCGCCGCGCCTCGCGCGCCCGGGCTCGCGTGCCCTCGCGCACCGCCGCTGTCGTGAGACGGACTGCAGATGGGACCCGAGTCAAGACCGACTCTTTCCAGAGAAGCAACGAGCAACGAGACCCTGAGCGCAGGCAGTGGATTGAGCTCTTCTGCGCCATGAATATGCAGCCATGGAATTAGGACCCCCCAGGGCCCAGAACGATGCTTCACCCAAATGTGAATTACCGAGTGCCATCAACCTCAGGCTTTCTCCAGGAATCGCTTGAGACCAGAAAAAATTGCACATCGGCAGCTTCACGGCCCGCGACGTCGCCAAGGCAGCAATGGATGGCTCCAAGATGCTTCCAGAAGACTCGAAAATGTCTCAAGATGCCCTGAGATCACCCAAGCTGATCGAGCTGCCCTGGATGGCCTGCAAGATTGCACGATGTGGCCGCAAAAATGGCCAGACGATGTCCAAACCACCGAACAGCGTTCCGCGGATTCCAACACCGCCTGTCTGCAGCGCTCCTTGCTTCCAGTAAGGCAAGGCGCGCCCAAAACGGCTCGACAAGGCCAACGGTAGCCCCGAGATGCCTCCATCATGCACCCAAGATTGCCCGAGATCGGCCAACGCAAGTGTTCTAAGAACAAGAACACTGTTCTTAGAACATAAACCCGAGGTGCTAAACCAAGACAACATCAACCAGAAATGTTCTAAGCACAGTTCGAGGAAACCACAGACGCTTCTTGGAACACTGTTTGGCAGGACTGCAGGCGAGCCAGGACGCCTCGCCTCTGCTCGACCCATGGTCCCACCAGCCCTCTGGGCGTGGGTTGTCTCGCGGCCCAGCGTGTCCATCTCCCTACTTCCCTGTCCCGACCAGCCACAACTGGGGGAGCTGTGGTCCTTTCCCCCCCATGGGGGAACCCGTCGCATCGACGATCCCTCGAGAGGGGTGTCGAAATCGATGGGTCCCCCAGGGGGGTAAGGACCACAGCTCCCCCAGTTGTGGCTGGCCTGTAGAAGCGGGTCCCCCGACAACCTTTATCGCAAGCCGATGTTCTCTAAACAATCATGAATCACGGATCTTCACCTCTGAGATGCCGATGCAGCTTTGGGCGAGGTCGCTGATCTCCGCTTTGTCTCTAGGTTCCCTTGGGGCTCACTTCCCAAGACCAGCCGCCCTCGTCTGGGGCCCCTTGAGGACCCATTGGGGACTTCTGGAGAGCCTCTTGGAGGGCTCTTCGGGCCCTGTTGGGGGCCTCTCGGGCTCGCTCACTGGGGGCCGTTTTGTTGACAAGGATGCTGGCACTGTTGGCCTCCCCTTCGAGGTTTGGAGCATCTCTGGCGGCCGTCCTAGGCGCTTCTGGGGTCGTCTTGGGCCCCTGCTGGGCCCGCTTCGGAGATCTCGGAGGGCCCTCTTGAAGGTACTTGGTGAGGCCTCGAAGGGGCCTTCTGGGGCGAGAAGGTGAGAGGGCAAAAATCACCCGTTCTCGCTTGAGGGATTTGGCCGCTCGGGGGCCCTCTTGGGGAGTCGCGGGGGCCGTCTGGGGCCAACTCGGAGGCGGCCTTGGCGCGCCGAGCCAGGCTTCTTTATCTCGCCGTGTCGCGTGCTGTCGTGTCTGTCGGGCCTCCTGCCGTCGCTCGGACGTCCATTTCCCGTGCATTTGTTGGCGTCGTGCGTGTATTTTTTGCTCGATGGTCCAGGATGGTCCTCGATGGTTCTCGCCGGGAAAAAATGCACACGTCCGAGCGATGCCAAGGCCTTGTCTGAACGTCTTGGGCCCTCTTCGGAGTGACTCGATTCGTCTTGCAGGGAGGGGCACGCTGATGTCCTCGCCAGGTGGCGACTGAGGGGGCCCTTCCCCCTCAAGAAGGAAGAACCCACGTCGCGAGACTCCCCCCCTTCCGCAAAGCAACGCGAGGAGGGCGGTTCGTGAATGAGAGCACGTGAGGTCCCAGCATTTGCCGATTGGGCTTTTGTCGAGTTCAGTGCCCGACGAGATGGACGTATTCCCTGACAGCGTTCGCTCAAGGTTCTACGAGCGTTAAAACAAAATTCCCCTGGAAATATCCGGGGGGTCCTGGCAGCTGCGGTCGCGCTGCTGGCACCACTGGCACCCTGCCGCCACCTGAGCGACGCAAAGAATCCGATTTTACGCGACATGGCATAGCGACCTTTATGCGGCTGCTCACGCGGGCCGCCAGCGCGGCGCGCTACACTGGAGACGAGGGCACTTACGCACGACCTTACGCGGGCAACTTGCGCCAATGTCGGCGAAATGGAACCTGCTTTTTTTTCCGTCGCTCACCTGTTTTCCCCAAATCGGGTCTTACCTGCCGGGGTTCCCCGGTGCTCCTCGGTCCTGTTTCCTTACAAAGGGCGTTCCCCGGGGTTCCTCGGTCCTGTTTGCTTAGAGGGGCTTGCGCCGGCCAGCCTTGCCTGGGTTTCCCAGGTTCTTCGGCCTTGGTTCCTTGCTGTTTTTGCAAGGCCCGCTTGGCTCGGGTTCCTCTGGTTCGCAGGGTTCCTGAGTCTTGTTCCGTGTATGCTTTTCAGCTTTTGAAAAGGGATTTCCCGATGTCCAACGCAATGCCAGGCAATGTCAAGCAATGCAACGAAATACGCCAAGCAATACAAAGCAAAACCAAGCAGTGCAACGAAATGCCAAGCAATGCCAAGCGATGCCATGCAATGCAAGGCAGTACGCAATGCATGCAATGCCAGGCGATGCCAAGCGATGCCAAGCAATGCCAAGCGATGCCATGCATGCAATGCAAGTAATACAAAGCAACGCAGAGCAACTCAAAGCAAGGCAAGCAGGGCAAGCAATTCCAAGCAAGTGCAATACAAAGCAATGCCTTCCTTGCTTAGCTACTTACTTGGGAAGCTTTCCCTTGTTTGGGGTCGCGCCAGGTACATGTTGACCGAATACGATGCCTCTTGGGCAGCCCTGCCAACATCAATCCTCAAATGCTATGCTGAATGCGTGTGAAACAAGTGCTATGCTGAATACATGTGACACACATGCTTAAAAAGCAACATGCTTAAAAAGCAAGTTCACGATTTCCACACATCAGAAGCATATATAAGATTAGCCTGGCGAAAAACCCAACCATATGTAATAATGAGTACCGCAATTGTGGGTATCGTCTTCCGTGGAGCTCCCACTGGGGCCACGAAACGCTATACTGGGCGGGGGAACCGCATGCGGACTGCGTCAGTGGGACCTTTAGTGGAGCTCCCTCTCGGGCCACGAAACGCTGTACTGGGCGGGGGAACCGCATGCGGACTGCACAACTGG